ATGATAAGTAGTTAGTGGGAGTAAACATTCGGGAGAGACGGGCGCTAGTTGTGACGAACTACCCACGAATATTGAGTAATACTTTGATATTTTAGGAAGCAGCGATGAATTATTGTTCTTTCCAGGAATATTTGACTGCATTCCATTACGGATGTCACAAAACTGTTATTATTAATTAAATGGTACATACAGAGTGTTCTGTAAGTGTAACTACCAACCATTTAACGCAAACACCATGTAAAAACAATAGGGAATACAAACCACTTCGAATTATTTTGTTCGATTATGGTAACCTACCTATCACGTTGAGGTTAGCTACGCCGGGATTCGTTTCAGCNCAAGATTTAAAGAGAGATAGAGGTAGACTGAGGCTAGATTCCTGTTCTCAAATAGTTAATGTACGTTACTGAAGTCCTCGTGAAATGCGAAGATTGGCTCAAGGTAGGAAGAGTGGTTGGAGATGGATGATGAACTAGTCTTTGAGCTGGAGACCTCATGACGATTATAATATAAGACCTACACCCTCCTTTTATACGAATAATGCGACAATTATTTTTGTTTCATCGCCTACATTTGATGCCTCAATTAAACAAACTCAAAAACAGAAAATGATGTAGGTTACTTTGGATTGAGTTTCGCTTATAAGTTGTGTTCCTTCTACAACTTTCGTTTTATTTTAATAATATAAGTATTTTAACTTAAGTAAATTGTACAGGCACTAAAAAATAAATCGTTTTACTAGGGATTCCTGTAAAAGATTACTTTACATCCAGAAATTGCTTTACGTACTTTTGTTGAATTAAACTTTTTTTAAGAGTTTTTTATGGAAATTCAAAAAATAAAAATATACAATTTTATACCATCGTAAACAGACTAGAGACCATTTTGACTGCATTCCATTACGGATGCCACAAAACTGTTATTACTAATTAAACGGTACATACAGAGTGTTCTTCAGTTTAGTATCTTCAATGTTTTTGTGTAAAGGAATATAGCATCAATGTTCTTAGAACGATTCATAATGGAATGCGAATTAGTGATACCAATAAATCACGTTCATTGCCTTCTGGACATGGAAAAATTATAAATGTCTTGAGAGTGAAGGATGTTTTCAGTAATTTAAAATCAGTGTACGAAAGAGGAAGTCGATTCTAACAGGAAGACTCATAAATAATCAAGCAGTGGCGAGTTGAATTGCTATTTTTGGTTATTTCGAATACAGTTTGCTCCGAACTTGGAAGCTGGTTTAATTAAACGCAATTGCTCCGTCTAATTAGACGTGCGTGTGTTCGTGTCTATTTCGTTAGCAGTACATCATTGCATGTACTTGTCTGCATGTGTATGTGTGGTTGTGTGTTATGTATGTAGCTATCCGGGCTTTTTTGTAATCTAAACTCTGATTGCAACGTCAGTTACAGTTGCAAACGGTCAAAGATTAAAATTTCATGCAAATGGCTTTTCATTGCAAACGCCGTAAGTTAAATAGCAGGCGTTAATTCAAATTGGTGCATTGCATAATAATTAATTAATTGTATGAGATTTTAAACGAGGGAAAATTGCCTTAATTAAAATATTTAATGAGGTTATCTTAATATCGGTATGCCTATGTATATATTTGGTACATTTTGCTTTAATAACTAGATAAATTTGTTACAAAGTTAAAAATTGTTAAGAACTTTTTTGGGCATTTACAAAAAATAAGTGATTATATAATAATCGGATATTTTTTGTAGTAAATTAATTTTCACATTAATATTAAAAGTTTCTTAAAAGTATTTCATTTATTATTGATATGGATCCAATAGTTCGACGAATCTGTTAGTTAATAAGTACGTTTTGTCGTTATTATTGCTGTCACCTTTCGTAGCTTAGTGGTCAGAGCACTGGTGAATAAAGCCGGAGGTTCCGAGTTCGACTCCCGGCGAGGGTGTTATAGCACCAACAATTTTTCCTCACTATTTGCGATAATTATAAATTGAAATGGTATTTACTTCTTTTTAATAACAATTAGCCATTATCAATGACAACTAAAAAGACTATTGATAGTGTATTGTTATTTACAACACAATTTCGTTAACAAATCAACGTCATTCCAGACTAAACTAAACCTGGGTTAATTAATTATATTTTTCATCCGGATATCGTACGTGGTGCATAATAGTAGTGGTAGATGGCACCACAATGAAGAATTTCTATAATAATATAGATATTTCAATAAAAAAAATCATTAAGTCATTGAAAATGTTTTATGATATTAAGTTTATGTGTATATGAATTAACTGCCTTGTTTTTGATAAAAAAGGGTACATATTTCCATTTGAATCCTAATTGTAACAATACCTCTTACGTCATAATTAATTTGGAATAAACAATCTTGCGTATAGAGACAGACAGATTTTAAATGTTATCTATAATTTAATTATTAGTGTGTATTTATTAAACGCCCAATTATATCTTCCTTTATTTATTGATGTTAGTCAATAAATTTCAATTTATTTGTGAGCGTTCTTGTGCATGAACGTATTAAATTTATAATCCTCCTTGGGGAGCAAAATAATAAGCATAATCCCTACATTAATGTATTTGATACCTCCTAAAGCAGGGATTATTATCAGACGAGGGCTTTTTAATAAAGAAAATCGATATTGAGGGGAAATTCAGGAGATCCTTAATATATTCCTATGCGAACGATATCGAAGTGAATTACGATTTAGCAAAGCAAAATACGTCTAAGATATGAACTCTATGTACAAAATTTAGAAAAACGATAATGAAAATGCCAAAGTGGATTAATAGAGAATTATCACCTAAGAAAAACAATTAAAAAGTTTAAGAGTAAGGAGATACTAAAAAGAGCCGGAAAATAAAAGGTATCATGGAAACCAATAAGAAATAGGTTGGTAGGACACCTTCTAAGGCCTGAAGGGCTAGTTGTAGATACATTAGAAGTAAAAACAAGATTTAAAGAGAGATAGAGGTAGACTGAGGCTAGATTCCTGTTCTCAAATAGTTAATGTACGTTACTGAAGTCCTCGTGAAATGCGAAGATTGGCTCAAGGTAGGAAGAGTGGTTGGAGATGGATGATGAACTAGTCTTTGAGCTGGAGACCTCATGACGATTATAATATAAGACCTACACCCTCCTTTTATACGAATAATGCGACAATTATTTTTGTTTCATCGCCTACATTTGATGCCTCAATTAAACAAACTCAAAAACAGAAAATGATGTAGGTTACTTTGGATTGAGTTTCGCTTATAAGTTGTGTTCCTTCTACAACTTTCGTTTTATTTTAATAATATAAGTATTTTAACTTAAGTAAATTGTACAGGCACTAAAAAATAAATCGTTTTACTAGGGATTCCTGTAAAAGATTACTTTACATCCAGAAATTGCTTTACGTACTTTTGTTGAATTAAACTTTTTTTAAGAGTTTTTTATGGAAATTCAAAAAATAAAAATATACAATTTTATACCATCGTAAACAGACTAGAGACCATTTAATGCGAAATTTCTACAATACGGTAATATTTTACCTGAATATTAAAGGAAAAGGGAAAAAACAACAAAACATAAACCGAATAGTTAAAGGCTAAGTACCTTTACGGCTGGTGCAAGAACGATTACGGAAGTATTAAAAATCCCCCTTTCCCATAAAAAAAAGCACGGGACTTGTGCTTTATTACGTCGGGGAATAACAAGGTGGCACGCATTCCGTGAACTTTATGTTTACACACAATTTTCGTTGCAGATGCGTCCTTTGGGACGAATATATTTTTATATCGTAACGTTATACTCCTTGAAAAGATATATAGAGGAACGTATAATAGAAATTATACCTCCAGGATATGATGGAAAGGTAGGCAGGGAATTACATATGAGAAAGGATATTAAAAGTAAACCTGTTACTTAATTTTTATGAGATGAAATGGAAATGAATTCAAGCTCATGTCAACAGAAACCAAAAACGTGGAAATTTTACTTTTATTATTTAAGAATTTTAGCTTTCTGATTGACTTCTTCCTTGCTCTCAAGAGAAGTAATTCAAAATTGATTCAACTTTTGAAAAAGTTTTATTTTTACTTCCGAAAATCTGATTGTTTTGATTCGTATTGTATGGGAATAGTTTTTGTGGAAGGTAGTGTTCGTTTCAAGAAGTTAGAGATATGTCCCTTCCCTTTATTAGGATACGCTGTAGCATAATTCCAAATTCAATCATATTTGTCTGCGGAGCTCATTTCCCCACCAATCATCGAGCGAGAACTAGACAAAAGTGTACAGTACCATTTCCAAAATTATTTAAACTGCCTCGTTAAAATTTAAGAATAAGCTTCATTTAAAAGCATATTTAGCCAAAAATAATAACAAGTGAATTAATTTAAAGTTCTACACACCTATAAAACTTTTGCTTTGTTTTCTATTGTTAATTTATATATATTTTTATTTTAAGAAATTGCTAAACATTTTCGTCTAGTACTGTACAGTTCTAGCCGATCTCTAAGACGGCACATCGAGAGCTCTGCTCGTTCAAGCTTGTTCCAACTGTTTCTGACTTGCTCACGCCTAGTGTGTATTCTTTCTATCTTCGCGCAGATTTCTTCAAGGTCACAATTCTAACAAATTGAAATGGACTGTAATAGATTTATGATGATTATGGTGATGTTTTTTTTCAAGTAAAATATGGAAGTCAATGAGAAATATTTAAAGACGAATTTGATTCAGAAACAGGAACTAAGAGACCTACATTAATTGTTCTCAAATAGTTATGGATGTGGAATGCTCTATTTTTAGGGAAATGCGAAAATTATCTCAGGAAAGAGTGGAGGTGCGTGTCCAACTTATCTAAAGACTGATAGTGATGATAATAACGCATATCTTAAACGATTTCGTCAAAGTCTCATATTAAGTTTCTTTCTGTTTTGAACTTGTTATTGATTCTACCATTATCCATATATTATTGTATTCTATTAGCCTCTAACCGTTGTTTCATTCTTTTCAGGACAGTATCGTTCCCCCAGGATAACGGAACATCCATCTGACATAACAGTCGCCAAAAACGAACCTGTAACCCTCAATTGCAAAGCCGAAGGTCGTCCAGATCCGACGATAGAGTGGTTCAAGGATGGCGAACCTGTTCGCACGTCTCCCGTAGATAATAAGTCGCATCGCGTGCTCTTACCTTCGGGTTCGCTTTTTTTCTTGAGAACTGTTAGCAGCAAAAAGGAACAGGACGGCGGGGTCTATTGGTGTGTTGCCAGGAATGTTGCCGGCTCAGCTGTAAGTCGGAACGCAACATTACAGGTTGCCGGTAAGTCCACTTTAAATATGTATTTTAATGATGACCACACTCCTATTTCTGGAGAAAATTTTCTGGTCATTTATGATTAGTGCAAATGTTTAATCTTTGGTGCGACAGGTGGGACGATTAAAATTGACATAGTTGACAATAAAATACGAGGGTGGATTGATAAGTTTCCGGCCTGACCAAGAAAAACAAGGTTTTTAAAAATTTTTTTTTTTTATTTCTCAACATAATCTCCTCCAAGGCTGATACATTTCTCATAGCGGTGTTCCAGTCTATTAATGCCATCTCTATAGACTGATTCGTCAAGCTCCTCAAAATAACCATTTACAGCTTCGATTACTTCTTCATTGTCCGCAAATCTCTTACCGCCAAGCCATTTTTTGAGATTAGGGAACAGAAAATAGTCACTCGGGGCTAGGTCTGGAGAGTAAGGAGGGTGCGGCATCAATTCAAACTTTAGATCGTTGATTTTAGCCGTCGCAACGATTGACGTGTGCGCTGGTGCGTTATCGTGATGAAACAAGATTTTTTTCTTCGCCAGATGAGGTCGTTTAATTTTCACCTCGTGGCTCAAACGTTGCAATAAGTCTGCGTAGTATTGACCAGTGATAGTATTACCCTTTGCAAGGTAATCAATGTATATAATACCTCTTGCATCCCAAAAAACAGTAGCCATAACCTTGTTCGCCGAAAAAATTGTTTTTGCCTTCTTTGGAGTTGGTTCCCCTGGTCCAATCCACTGTTTAGACTGTTCTTTGGTTTCAGGAGTGTAGTGGTGGACCCACGTTTCGTCAACGGTTACGAATCGACGCAAAAATTCGCTTGGATTACGCTTATACAATGACAAATTTGCGGTAGAAATGTTTTTTCGAATCAATTTTTGGTCGACTGTTAGCAAACGCGGCACCCATCTTGCACAGAGCTTTTCCATATGCAAATGTTGGTGCAAAATATGTTGCACACGTTCATATGACATCTTACAGGTCTCAGCTATCTCACGCACTTTCAATCTGCGGTCTCCCAGCACTATTTGATGAATTTTTTCGATCATATCTGGAGTTGTGACCTCAACGGGGCGTCCTGAGCGAGGCCCATCAGAGGTGCTCACACGACCCTTTTTAAACTCGGAAACCCACTGCTTAACGGTTGAATATGACGGGGAGGATGTCCCCAGTGTTGAGTCCATCTCTTTTTTAATTTCCTTCGGCGTTAACCCCTTCAAATAAAAGTATTTGATGACAGCACGATTTTCCTGCTTTTCCATTTTTACGAAAACCACAGAGGCGTCTTGTTCAGCGTGCTGTCAAACCTACACTAGCAAGGAGATCGGGCTGAAACTATAGCTACAAGCTATCCAAGGATGGTACTATAGAATGTCACCTCAAGGTAGGCCTAGTGGCGTCATCTCTTGGTTAGGCCGGAAACTTATCAATCCACCCTCGTAAATTATGTGTGACAATAGACGTACCTTCTTTCTTCTTTCTCTTATTAAGTTAGGAAATGATCCATGAGTAGTACAGACAATATGAAAAGAAATAATCGAATAATAGTAAGCGATGCAGCGGTTAGAGGTTACTTAGATACTCAAAAGATCAAAGTCTACTTTATAACTGCCTGGCTATAAGGCCAAATGATGTGCAGCCGCTTTTCTGAACCCAAAGTGACTCACAGAATTTAGAAACAGACTAACGCTTATCTGCTCAAGGTTACCTTTGATCATTGCGCGTCGTAGGACGTGATTATACCACCGTTCTTCCTATTTTGCTCTAGTAATACTTGACGATAACCCCCATACGCACTAAAACTTTATAAACACACTGTACATCATTGAAAAATTGCTACAAATCTTCAGTATTCTTGAAAATACCCACTCACAACTATCAGGAAAAAGACCATTGCATTTTTAGTAGCGAAAATGAAATATGCGTTGCAGGAAGGTTTTGATGGCCTCGAAAACTGATTGTCCTTATCTTAGCATTGACATTCACCCGCTGCACCCTGATAGATTGTCTCTAGCGTGACGTTGATAAAAAGTTGAGTGAGAGACGCACGTCGGCGTCGAGGAGCCGACGGCGGACATCCTCGTCATGTTCTTGCGCGTAATGTTTTGAGTAGAGTTTGTCACGTATGAACATCATTAAGAAGCTTGATTTATGGTATCCGTTAGTTGTAGTATGCAACCAGCGCCAGCAGAGCCCTTTAGATGTACGGTAATGTCCATTGGAAATAGAAATAGAGAAATACCTTCATTGTATATGGATGTTGTTTTTAAATGAAACTTCCTTAAGTTTAAAATAATTCGAAGTGGTCTGTATTGATTGTGCCTATCACGTTGAGGTTGGCTACGCCGGGATTCGTTTTCAGCAAGTAGATATCCACACAAGTGGACCTTGTTGGAGCATACGTAATCCTAAAATGTAGCTTCGTGCTACAGATGGCGTTTACTGCGCCATTTGTAATATTTCCTTAAGTTTGTTCAAATGTTACGTCATTATTGTGTTGAACGTATATATATGTAAACTTTTGAAATAATATTCATATATAGGTGCATACCTCGTTGGCTACACTTTCTCTTCAAGGATTAGGTTAGCTCAGGCGTCTATTAACTGAGATGCATTCGGGGGTTGTCGGAGTAGATTTATTAAATTTCGATTGCAAACGTATGACGGGTTGCCGCTCGTGTCAGTTTTCAATGAGTCACACTGTACCTACTTACCCTTTCATACCACACACTACAACTTCTCAGCAAGTTCCTTGGTTCGGGACTTAATCGATTCAAACTCGAAGTATTAATCATTGTCCAGTGACATTCACGATAGCCCTTCTTCAACTAACATCGGTCCAAGTATGCCCTGAATGATGGAACAGGAGCGGACTGACAGGTTACATTAAATATCAACTTGTTTCGCATTTATTGCAGTAGAATGAGATGCCAGTGCATTTAAAGGATTGGATGGGGATGAAGACAAAAGAGTATTTCAAATGGAAATTGTTTACGTGTGTGACAGAAGTACATATAAAATAAAATAATTCGAAGTTGTCTTTTCTGTCGAAACTGCCAGACGCAGATCGCGATTTCGATCTTTTTGGATCTCATCAGCGCGTCTCAGACAGCTCCTACAGAACACAGACCAACTTTTACCTGACGTCTTAAAAGCGCGTTTTAGAAAATACCACAAATGGCGCGGTAAACGCCATCTGTAGTACGATACGCGATCCGCGTCTGGCAGTTTCGGCTGAATACAGACCATTTCGAATTATTTTATTCAATTATGGTAACGTGCCTATCACGTTGAGGTTAGCTACGCCGGGATTCGTTTCAGCAAGTAGATATTCATATATTCAAAATGGACCGTGTTGGAGCATACGTAATCCTAAAATGTAGCATCGTACTATAGATGGCGTTTACCGCGCCATTTGTGGTATTTTCTAGAAGTACATATGTATATATATATTAGGAATGTCTTCTAATAAATTGACTTCCATAAGGAATGATAATGTTTAATGTCTGAAGTTTTTTGTACGCATCTATAGAAGATACTTCAATGCAATTATTGATCGACCGTAGGTAATTATCTGAATCTCTATAACGTCGAACGGTTCTGTAATAGTATAAAGTTGTTAATTTGTCGGTTGTGTAGCGGACGATGTAAACTAGCTTTTTAGACAACTATAGTACGTACCTGGATGACCAACCGCATATCAAGTGTCAATAAAAGAATTTGTATTCGATTTGAAAACATATTCGAATGCCTGGTTCGAAATGATGATGTTATCGATTGACTGGCTCTCGTCCACTAACATGACGAATGCGAGTAGATGTGAATGAAGGCAATTAAACGAATGACTGACAAAGTAATTTCGATACATCATTGCCAGTTAGTTAGTTAAACGGAAGAAACGAATGTACATGTTATTTTTGTTGGTTGCAGAGGCTTTTGTTAATCATAAAACCTGAACTTACAAAAGAAGTGATACACTGGTTGATTTTGTTTGATTCATTGTCTCTTTTTCAATGTGAGTATATACAGACTAGGCGAAGAAATTAAACCGTCTAAAAAATTTTTCTCTCCCTGTCCAACTGCGCAATTCCCATTTATAGATAACTACTCAGAAATGAATCCAATTTCATAATCATCATCATGAGGTCATTAATCCTAAGATTAGTTGGACACGCACCTCCACTCTTTCCTATCCTGAGCTAATCTTCGCATATCCCTAAAACTAGAACAGCGTACATCCTTAACTATTTGCGAACAATAATCTAATCTAGGTCTACTTCTACTCCTCTTAACTCCTGTTTCTGCCTCTAATATGTCTCTGACTAGACCTTCATGCCTGAGAAGGTGTCCTACTAACCTATCTCGTCTATTTTTTATTGAAGAAGATTCTCTGGAACGCTCAATTACTTTTCTTAATATTTTCATCTTCTAAATTATTTCGAATTAGCAAAAAGGAATTTCTTTGTTAATTCTCTTTAGATGTAGTAGGGTTAGTTTGAATTCGAAGAATGATAAAGGTAACCAAAATTCCATTTACGAACAAGTGGAATTAATTAAGGGCTTGGCGTCGCTGTCGCGTCGTTTAGATCACTATGTCAGTCACGATTCGTGTTAATGGTGCACGATTTCATTATATAAAAAGTGACGAAATCGCCATTTGATTACTTTTGTCAGCTGGAGCGGCTCCTGGTTTTGGTTCACAGCGGGTCATAATAATGAATGGTCAGCGTGACAAAGTTTCGCTACAACAGAACTGAACTTTTCTGAAAGTATTCCGCTTTGAGACAACGACAGTTTTATATCACAATATGTGTCACAATTACTGCATTGGAAACCAACAGTAACCCGGCCAATGTTGGAGGTTCATTCCCACCATAATTTCGTGCGTAATACTTAACTTAATATCCATGGGTAATCCACAGTGGGTAACAGCTTTTAAGGTACCTAAATATAGAAACAAATGGACGCTACTAGTATGTGTATGCGTGTATACACACATTT